GTTTTTTATTTGTTAAAAAAGTTTGAAATATCCAATAAATTTCGTTCCACTTCATGATTGTGTCCCACTTGTTGTTGATTCTTCACAAAAAAATACAGTTTTATATCTTTATGTTTGAAGCCTGAAATGTGGCAAAAGGTCACAAAGTTCAAGGGGGCCAAGTACTTTCGCAAGGCACTGTAGATAGATAGATGGATAGATGGATAGATAGATAGATAGATAGATAGATAGATAGATAGATAGATGGATGGATAGATAGATAGATAGATAGATAGATAGATAGATAGATAGATGGATGGATAGATAGATAGATAGATAGATAGATAGATAGATAGATAGATAGATAGATAGATAGATAGAACAGTGACTTGACTGTTGATTATGCGGTAATTTATCTTACAATATATTTGGGGAACGTAGCTTAGACTTTATTGTCCTTGTCAGTAAATTTTTATGACCCTGAATAAAACACATTTCTGAAAAGAACAAAATGCTTGTAGTATCAACGCCAATTAATTTAATTATTTTCAAAATATGCGTTGTCATCCATCCATCCACCCATCCATCTATGTTCTACCATTACTACCCCAAGGGAGTTGGAGCCCTTCCCAACTTTTCCTAGGCTGGATATGTTAAGTAGTTTGTATTTTTTTTAATAGTTGTTCGATTTACCTGCATATGGTTAGTGTCTTTCAAAGGTTCGTCTACCTTTATGAGTTGGAAAACGATCTGGCAATGGATAGCAAGTCCACACATGCTCCATGTAATACACATAAAAGACTCTTCCTCCTCCCGATTTAATTGTTACACGATGTATGTGTGTGTGAGCGCGCGCGCGCGCGCGTACGTACGTGTGTTTGCGTATGGATAGGTGTTTAGCCCTCCCACGACATTGTGAGTTGTGAAAATAGGTGGATATGTAGACGAAGTGACCGTCAGCACTTCCTTGTCTTTCCGCCTTTACACACCCAGGTACGTGGGAAGTGTTGCCTCACCCTGCCTATTATTTCCTTTGTACCTTCTGCTGTGCTTCAATACTTCTGAATCTCATCAAAGAAAAGGTAAGTACATTCTTATGTTTTATATATATATATTTTTAGATATATATTACATTTAAGGATAGAATATAGATACAAAAATAGAATCGGTATAAGGTTATAGCAGAGCCCATACAAAACATTCGTGGTTTGATTGTCAAAGGTCCTTGTATCTGCAAATTAGTACAATCTCGTGACACATTACACTGTTTAAAGTTATATTTTACAAACGTGTATTAGAATAGGCTCGTGTGCTTCACATTGTTTTGATATTTCTTTCGCTCTCCCTTTTGCTCGCCGTCTCCCTCTTCATCTCACTCTCGCATTTGTATTTACTCGGAAATAAAAAATTTTTCAAATGTGTCTTGAATAAATGAGGGAATAAACGTTTCAAATGTGTCTTGAATAAATGAGGGGTCGTCCCAATATGAAGTCCCAGAAAACGTATGCTACTACGTTTTCTTATATATAAGTCCTAAAAAGTTCATTTTAAAGGCAAAACGCATCTACAATCGCAATATCACCATATGCCAATAGTAGCTTTTGTACGCAACACATTGCCGTCATTATTTTAACCTTTTTTTTTTTTTCAAAATATGAATATTGTTTTAAACGTTTTATGACCAACAGTCGTGCCGTTAATTAAAACACTGTTGCCACCGCTGACATAAAAATATTCTTCTATCCTATATACGCCTCTGCGTCTTTTTCTATTAATGACAGTGCGTGTATAGTGTGTTGATGTGTAAACCTATTTATTTACACAGAACACAACTGGGAGCGTGCAGAATACGCGTTTGTATGTGTACATGCTAGCTTGTGTTTATGTCACTGGTGTTCGATTGTAATTTGATTTCGATGGCTTCAATTTGGTATAGTTTCCACCTTGGATTCCACTTAACAGCTGGAGGGATCCAAAACTGTGTATAAGCCATGCTTGCATCTCTATTAGCCTCTCTGGAAATGTGCTAATTTCATGCAGCAGTGGGTTAATAAAGGTGAGGCAGCAAATTAGTGCACATTTGAGCAAACACAGCATCAGCATTTGATCAAAAAGACTTGGTTAAGTGTTTATTAATATTATTATTATTTAAAATCTGCTTGTTTTTTGTGGTCACAAATATCAGCCGAGATGAGAGAATGGAACTGTCAGGAAACTTTTTCTGTTAGATAGGACTGTAAAAAAAATGCTGTTAGTTCATACCCCAGTTTCCGAACACACAAAAAAATTCAAATAAAGATCAAATAAAGATCTGATCAAATAAAGAATCAAATACGAGATGTCAAATTTTAAAAGTTTTACTTCCATGCAAGGAGTGCAGAACAATGGTTACATTCAGAACTGCACTGAGGAACTCCTCAGTGCTCAGAGCTTAAATACAGTTTTTTTCTACACACACATCAATGGTCAGAACCTTAACCCTTCACGCGCAACTTCTGAGCGCTGATTGGCAAAGGCTGCTCCAAACAAAGATTCTCCACCAATAGAAAACGTGTACATGTGCTGAGCTATTCTGCTCAGTAACTCAGGTTCGATCAAGGAAATACACTTTGGATTCTTCTCCTTTTTCATGTTCTGTTTTCCTCATTATTTGGGCACAGAAACTGGTTCAGGCCGGTTCTGTGACCTGTCTCTTTCACCAAGCGTAACAGTCAGTGCCATCCATGCCATCCTGTTATGTAAACCATCAGCATGCACACCTTTCTTCAGTACTTCTCCTTTTAGTACAGCATTCAAAAACAAACAGTGTAAATTGATATGGAAACTTAATACAATGAATATATATAACCGAGGTTCATCACAGACACTGAGTGAATTATGAATAGTGAATATATTGTAAAGATTGAATAAATGTATTTACAATATCTTAACAGGAACGCTTTGCACCAAATCAATTCTTAAGATAACTTAAATATATATATATATGTATAACTTGCATTATTTCCGTTTTATAAATTATCTGACGCTGAATGATGTTTTAATTTGAAAAAAAATAATTTTCTCTCAGATTCCCTTCTTAAAAGGTCTACTCCCGCCTGTTACAAATAATACATTAAGTTGAAACTCCCAAGCTGGCAAAATGAACAAAAAACGTCTTTGGAAAGCTTCTTTGCGCAGGGTAAAAGAGCCACTGAGGAGACAGAAGATGAGCCTACATCTTCAAAGAAAAAGAAAGCTGCATTTAGCCAGCCAATTCAAGAAATCGAACTTGAAATATGGATTTATTGCGACAGATTGTTACGACACGCCGAGCCCATGTGAACAGTTCTCTAATGAGGCAACGAAGCCTTCAAAACAACTTGGAAACCAAGCATTCAGCATTTAAAAGGACAAGCGCAATGTTACGAGAACGCTAATAAAGTTGCATACACAGTGGCTTCCATCCATCCATCCATCCATTTTCATCCGCTTATCCGTTACCGGGTCGCGGGGGCAGCAGTCGCCACCCAAATCACATTGCACCGTACCAAACCTTCCTGCGGGTGGTGAGTCCACTGGAAGGTACCAACCGCCCTAACCGGGATTCGAACTTGCCCAGGAGGTGAACCCTGGGGTTCCACACCAATGACAGAGACGACAGAAGGACACCTTACAGTGAATACAAAGATAACAACACAGCATTAAAACAAACAAAACAACAAAACGTTACAACATTAAGAACAAGTTAAAATACAGCAGTGAAATATCAGATGGAGAAGGCAATTTTAAACAGATGAGTTTTAAGTGCAGACTTGAATTGTGGGAGTGAATTGATGTTCCTCAAGACGGGGGGTCAGAGAGTTCCAGAGCTGGGGAGCAGAGCGACTGAAAGCTCTGTACCCCATGGTGGCGAGACGGGCGGAGGGGACAGTCAGATGTATGGAGGAGGACGATCTGAGGAAGCGAACAGCGACATGAAGAAGATCTGAGATGTATGGTGGAGCAGAGTTGTGGATGGCTTTGAATGTGAGCAGAAGGATCTTGTAGTGAATACGGAACTTGATCGGGAGCCGGTGAAGCTGTTGCAGGACAGGAGTGATGTGGTGGATGGAAGGGGTTCTAGTAATGATGCGGGCGGCTAAGTTCTGGACCAGTTGGAGCTTATGAAGAGACTTGTGGGTGAGACCAAAGAGGAGGGAGTTGCAATAGTCAAGGCGGGAGGTGACAAGAGGAGGAGGAGGTGACCTCTTTGCTCAATGACCTGAACAGCTTCTTTGCACGCTTTTGTGAGAGCTGTTTGTTCCCTGGTCCTGCCGTCTGCTCTGTGGTGCAATCAGTGTCATCACACTCACCTGTTTTATTGTTATTATGTACCTGTATTTGTTATTAGTCGTATCACTGTTTTCACTGGGTTTTGTGTGTGTTTCTGTGCAATGACAATAAAGAAAGCCTAAGCCTAAGTTTAAATCTATCACCTGGTGCCCTTTGTACTGTATATATACCTCTCTCCCTCACTCTGTCCGTGCTCTGGTGTTCTGTGTGTTCCTAGTTCCTCATGTTTTGAAGAAGCCCATGCTTTGCTGCAGTCCATGCCTTGTAGTTTTTGTTTTGCTGCAGTCCATGTTTGGACTTTGCCTTGTCCTGTTTTTGTTACTGAACCTGCTACACCTGAAAGTCTCCCTGGTATCGCATTTGGCTCCTGCCTGCTTCCAGGACAATGGCGTCATGTAACACTTTGAAGAACAACACCCACCCACAGAACCCCTACCCAACCCCCACCCCACCCCGCCATGACCGGACTCTGTGCCTAACTGCTGCAAGCCTGACGAGGACACTCAACACCAGCAAACCATCTGCAAACTGGACAAACTGGGTCTCAGTACCTCCCTTGCAACTAGCTGCTAGACTTCCTTATCTAGAGACCACAAGGTGTACATGTCGGCAACAAAACCTTGAGCAGCATCACTCTGAGCACAGGGGCTTCCCACCCTACTGACACATGACTGCACGACACCCTACAGCACCAACCACCTTGAGTTTGCAGGCGACACAACTCTGGTCACAGGAAAGTGGTAGACCTTCTGACCATGTGGTGCGGTGACAATAACCTCCTGCTAAATGTCAGCAAGACTAAGGATATTGTTGTCCACTTCAAAAGAAGCCACACCAAACACCCACCACTGACCATCGATGGTGCTACTTTGCAGAGAGTGACCAGCGCTAAATTCCTGGGGGTGCATATCAGTGAGGACCTCTCGTGGACCACCAAAATGGCATTACTGGTGAAGATAGCCCAGCAGCACCTGTACTTCCTGCACAAACTTAAACGAGCAAGTGCTTCACCACCCTTCATGACCACATTCTACACAGGAACCGTTGAGAGCATCCTGAAGAATTTGACAATAAAGCTGACTTTGACTAGTTTACACACAGGCTTAAGTCTTCAAATCATCATTTCTAACAGGGCCTCCTAGAAAGCTTACCAGCCTGTGCTATGTACCCACTAGAGATGGTTCAAAATGTGGCAGCAACACATCTGTTTTTTTTGTCCAATCACTAATGCTACCCTACAAAGTTCTAAATGGGTCTGCTTTTACGTACATAAGTGGTCTGATAAAGGTCTATGTTACCCTTGACCTTATGACCACTTAGGAGTGACGTCTGTCATATAAATATAATGTATTTTGCAAACACAAGGAATCCCATTAACTTAATCCATCAGCAACTTTGAAGCACAAGCATTTTTCGTGTATCATTACCTACTGCAGAGAAAATGATTGAGCTTGATGTTAAACCCAGAACTTTGTGAATCTGTGAATGGTGTAAATCCGTAAAAACATTGTTTTAGTGAAGTAGTGAATCTTCTACATGCTCAGCTTCCAGTTTTGTTTAGATTCTATTCCTGACGTTAACCTTTGGCTGTGTCACGAGTAGCATCTTTTGGTAACATTGCCAAATTCCCACTCTTGATTGTTTTATGTTTCAGATTGTATCATTAGGTTTTTCACTTTACCTCTTTTGTTCTCAGGTTTTCCAACTCTGGCTTTGGAGCAGTTAAACTGCCTGTCAAGGAGGAGCCCATTATGGAGGCCAAGTATGGAAAGGTTCTTAGCAAAGAAAAAATATCCCATATGGAATATCTTCCCAGCAGAAACAACGAGTCTATAGTAAGGCCTCAAGTTAATAAGTATTTTCCATGACCCAATTATTTGTTGTGTGTTGTATTGTTAGGTAAATAACATGATAGGCTAAACATGATCAAATATTGCAGTTTAATAAGCTTCTTGTAGCTTTTGGGATAAAGTGATGTTTCAGTTCTATCACCTCAGCTGCTTTTTGAAGTTTTTCAGTTGAGTGTGAAAGCTGGGAGACTACTCATTCGACCTGTAGAGTAAAGTAGTAAAGTAAATCAGGATACTGATGTGTTGTGTTTATGGCTAGCTGTAGTGTTACAGGTATATATATATATACAATATATATATACTATTATATATATATATATGTGTATATATATACTACTATATATATATATATATAATATATATATACTCCTATATATATATATATGTGTGTGTATATATATATATAGAATATATATATACTACTATATATATATATATATATGTATATATATATATATATAGATAAAAGTCTTTCGATGGCCGAATATTCCGTGCCGCCCTAGTATTTTGCATTGTTTTTTAAAAATAAAAGATGATTGTATTTGGTCATAATTTGGAACTAATTTTGAAAAATGGTGATAAAATCGTATCACAAACCTAAAATTGTGGATCGTATTGTATCGTGAGCTGAGTGAATTGTTACATCCCTAACTGTAGCATTATAGCCATTAAAAGTGATATCCATACACTGAAAGAATAATTGTCTTTGTCAGTGGAACTATGGTACATGTCCCACTGGTAGTACGCAAGCGCTCTTTAGCGGTACGCAGGGAAAATTCATATTTTCACGTTTACATTTTTAATTGAATAAATTTAGAAAAAAATAGCATGCACAATTAATACTTTAATACTTTAATATTAATGTTTAAACATCTCTCCAGTGTGGTGGAAGCTAATAGGGAAGGCCTATGCTGCTATATTCTAATGTTGGTCATTATGGTGGTACTCAGGGAGCTCAATGTTTTCTCAGGTTGTACTGAGTATAAAAGGTTTGAGATCCACTGGTCTATGTAAACACTTTTGTGTTCAGTATTTGAATGACTATAAAAAATTAGAAGTAAGTATAAAATTAGTAGTATCAGTTTTCATTAATGATGTTCTTTACAGTTTTCTTTTTTTAATAACAAATATGTGTATTTATTTTAAGCTGTGCTTAATATATTAAATAAAACAGAAAAATAAAATAAAATAATAAAAATAACATAAAACATTTTCAATTTAAAAACAGTAAAACCCTTTAAGATAAATGTGTTTTGTGAATTTGAGCAAATATACAAATCAAATTGACATGATTTGACCTAAGCTAAAATTATGTTTCCTTTCTTCTAGCCATTGAAAAGTCTCTACATGGAAGAGACCTCTCTTCTACATCCAGGTCTGGGCTCATTCTTTTTGGATGGGAAGCGACGAGTGGACTATGTTTTAGTATACCACATTCAAAAGCCAAGCAGTGAAAGACGTCAGTCATCCAGGTTTAGAGACAACAATTTTGTCCGACGACTTCACCGGAGCTTGAAATTGAGAGGCAGCCAAGCTCCTTTGCACCCCAAAGAGGACCCTGAGATTGCTGCCCAGGAGCAACGGGCAGATTATCATGAGGATGACAAGCGCTTTAGACGTGAGGAATTTGAGGCAAACCTCCTGGGGATGGGTCTGGAACTAGAAAAGGATGAAGAGGTGAGAAAATGGAAAATTAACAGATAAACAGCCGAGGTCAGTACCATTAGTTTTTGAGATAGCGGACAATGTATGTGGATAAATATATATACGTGTAAAGATATATATACATGCACATATATATATATATATATATAT